TAGCATGGGGTTGACCAGCAGGATTGAAGTCGTGGAGACGGCGAACATTTTTTAATTGATAATTAATAATGATGCCTCATCGACTCGGGTACTATTTATATTCGGAATCGATGCTAGGTTTGCAATTTTTCGCAATGGGAATGGTCATTACCTTTCGATATTGCTTACCTAGGTATCATCGCATGGTAAGCGGTTTTTGCAAATTCTACAGGAACTGGACGTCTAAGAACTCCGCTGACCTGATGGAAACTACACTGTACTGGATGTTTTAATTTGGAAAAGTTTATTTATAATTGAAGATCTTGAAATGAACGCAAGTTTGAGTGATGTTATAAACATAAATATCCTTGATTATACAGGAATTACGAGCGGTAAAGTAGTCCGAGGGCGGTTGAGTGCTACTTTACGCCCGGTCGTGCATAAAATATATTATTATTTGTCCAGGAAAAATATGGAAGATATTGAATTTTGAAGTTGAACTTATTATCAGTTTTGCTGGAGGTTCAGTACTGGCAGAATAAGCTTCTTTCTGTTCATTGATATCAAGTATGCGTTACTGCAATAGAAACAAATCCTCCTCGCCTCCACTTCTCATGGTCAAAGATATGATGAGGTTCTAGATTCAAATATCTGATTTTTCGAAATTTTTCGAAATTTTCTTTTCGTTTCTATAGAATCGCATTATGAGCATTATCTATCAATCATCAATGTAGGTGTATCAAGGAAAAATCAGATGATATGCCCCAAAATGTCACTATGTTCAAAAATATCACTTGAAGAACCTGAAAGATAAATTCAATCGATTATCAGTTACACCTCATCTAGAAAAATGTCTGAAGAAGGGAAATATACATAGATACAGATAAATCTATGTTGAAAATTTGATTTTCATCAAATAACAGATGAACGTAGTAATCTTGCAGTCGGATCTCAGACTATTATGATCACAATTTCAATTTTTGTGTATCCAAAACTTACAATGGCTCTTGCTCGGAGGAGGTGCATTTTAGGACACATACTTGTATGAAGAAAAAGTCTCAATTTCATCCCAAGAATAGAATTTTGAATCACCCTGTATTTCTTGATTTCCGATTCGATTGGTAGGTATCGAGATATTCAAATTAGACGGTTCTAGCAGAAGGATCTTGGAAGCAAGTAGGTCATTCGCCTACTTATTATGCACAATGTCAGTAATGTCACTGCTGACCTGTGACCTGCAATCGTCTTTCTTGTCGGTCGATCCGACACAAATAGCGCGGATGAATAACGATCCTAGGTTTAATGTAAATTGCGGTAAAACCGAGTCCATTTTATATTTCATTATCGTTATTATTGTATTTGATGTTTGATGGTTCCGGTTCGGTGGAGATATTCGAAATTGTGTGCTGAATATTAGCTAGTGAAATGAACTTGGAGGAATGTAAACAAGAAGATTATACGATAGGTTGCCACCTTTTCTTTTTTTTTTCGGAGGTGGTCAACATTCTTTTAAATGAGATATCACTGATTATTTAGATAAATAATTAAACATATCCATCATATTTCAAATTGAATCTCTAAATGTTTGTTCTCAAATTGTTTCATCACTCATTCGGTTGCCACTTTACGAGCAACCCTCAAAAGTCTTGAAGAGACTTGTGCGAGCAACGAATTACGGGGGTCTTACCCAAACACTTTCTTAGGCCATCAAAAAAGTTTTTGGAAATATACAAGGGGCATTGAAACAAGTGCAAATATTTCAAACACTAAGAAAGCTCGACGTGCACTTTCGAATGGTACTAATAAAAATGAAATTTGAGGTTAGACCCCTTTCTCCGTCCAAATTTCTACACTGTAGCAAATCTGACGTCACCTCTGTTCAAATTTCCATGCGGTAGGCACAATCACGCGGAGTTCAATCATTTGAATTGTTTTTTTCTCTCATTTTGTTCAATTTTTGGGATGAAATTTCTTGATAATTAAAAGAATTTTGAAATATTAGGATTTCAGAAGTTCAGAGATTTTTAATGAAAATGAAATCGAATTTGAGTATTTAATCCATCACAGGAATTCTTTACGTCCTAAAGAGACAAAATGAACTTACAATAACCATTTCACCATCGGTTGTTGATGACAAAATAAATGCTAATGAAAAATAATTCTCATGAAGATGGGTCAGGAAACAGCTGCTGTAGGACTCCCTTTGAAAGAGCGCTCTGTATTTTTTTCGGTATTTGCTGATAATTCAATTCGTGTTCTATTAAGGAGTTGTATATTTTTAAATTTTCATTCGTCATTATTTTTCAAATAATTCCGTCCAAATAAATCTTTCTTCATATCCCATCACTATCCTGAGCAAAATGTTTGAAAAATGGCACTTTCCTGTGCGGTAATTTGCACTTAATTTCGCGATTTGATAACGGGAAAGGAATTATGCCATCTGATACCAATTGAATGGTTGATCTCAAAACCCTATCTGTGCCACCCCTTGATCTGAGTCAAATCCATGACACAGCGATTCATTTGTTGCCGTTATTCTGGAAATACTTCCGTCATGTGATGTCGGGTTCAAACAAAAAGCAATTGAAAGGGGCTGCGATTCAAACTGATCAAAGTTAGTGGAGTAAGTCAGAGCGTCAATATTTCATGCTCAAGAACCCCTCAAGTCTTCCTCATATGAGGATTCCTTGAGGACTCCTCAGTACTTGACGTTGACCTTGAATTATAGACCTTCTTTGAGTATTCCTTCTGAAAGGAGCCCTTACACTTGGCAACAGTGCTTACTTTTAGTGTTTTCTGACTAAATTTGTTGTTTCATGTCACATGTTTGTTACAAAAGGCGGAATGTCAAATTTGAGAATGTTTTTACTGTTGAGTGTGGACATCGATAATCTAGTGATAATCTTCAAAGTTGGGGTCAAATTGGGCCTAACAATATATTACTTGGATCTGAAATGCTTATGGATCACAGACAAAATATATCCAAGGAAGGTTCCGCAAAATGAAGAAAGGGTCGAAGAGTTTATCGATGACGATGTTGGAAAATTATGGTGGATTTATGCAACATTTGCATAGTCCTAATCATAGTCTTAATCATAGGTACTTGCATGAGGTCGTTTGCACACCAATGTTAGTATTAAGCATAAGCACAAGCCTAAGAAACGACCTCGAAAGTTGATTAATTTGAACTTTTATGCTTATGCTTATGTTATGTGGATTTGGCGCATGCTCATTTGATAGAATTGTTAATGATTTGATTTTTACATGTTCCGAAAATAATATGAGAAAGCACATGTATTGATGAGTGTGATAGATAATTTTCCTCATCTCTGATACAAAATTAACCACAAATTCTCACATGACTCTTATGCTTAAATCAAGTTTTAATGTGTCTGGATAAATACCTCAAATCTTTATGACATAAATTATTACTAAGACTATATATGCTTAGAACTAAGACTAGTACTATGCAAATGTTGCATAAATCCGCCATTACTATACAACAATTACTCTGTTATGAACGGATTCTTTCAAGGTGCAATGGAATAATATGCCAGGGAGAGGAAAAATATCCATTTGATTGAATACTTTGAATGAATCTGTGATTTTGTGTGGTTGTTCATTGGAAATGTATTTTGTATGTCATTTTACTCGATTATTTGGGATTTTCCTCCTCGTTTCTATAAAATAAAAATATGAGTATATTATTTCAAAAATGTATATATTTCAATTTCATGAACAAATCATCAAGATGATACCTATATATAATTGTAAATATGCTGAGTTTCCATTATTTGTAATATATACCTATTATTTGAAATGAAAAAAGATTGACTTTTCAACTAAACTTGAATCAGCTTCAACTGGAAATGGATATACTCGAATCAGATTCTCTGTACAAATTTCAAGACTTGAATATTCATTTGATTACTACATTCTTCATAACATAACCTGAAATAATACTAGAAATTGGATCAAGGAATGCTCAAGGTACCTCTTTACCTTCCTTAGAATTGACATTTCCTTAAGGCTTCCTTCGAGCTCATATAACGACTATAAATTGAAAACTGGTCCTTAAGGATGCCTTAAGGGACGAGGTCACCCTAAGGAGCGACTATAAATACGGGCCTCTAGCTCAGTTTGAATCGCGGCTCGTTCACGTTTGGATATTCGCAAAGGAGACAGTATCCCCTTTTATTTACTTCTTGTTTCAACACGTTATCACATGGTGGAAGTTTGTCTGCTCACTTCAGATATTATCGATTCGATTGGATCCATTGTTCGTTAACATATTTTCAAATAATTGCTTGATATTTTCAGCGCTTCCATAATGAACCAAACAAATCAATCATTGAAAAGGAATATTCTCAGATGAATTATGAACACGAAAAAAGGGATATATTTGTCACGACGAGCTCACATTATCTCTATATCGAGAATCAGTCGGAAGAAAATATGCATGCTTATATTTTACAATAATCTCTCTTCATTTGAAATAATTTCAGCAATGCAGTGTTGCTGCATCTATAACAGAAGCAGCTTTAGGGTTTGTTTTGCTACGGAAACCACTATCCACCAGCGGTGGTTGTAGCTTAGTTATCTCAGGGTGCGTGTGTTGGCAAGCAGAGGAAGTAAAACGCAGGGTTGACAGGGGTGACCAGTTTATTTTGAGGACGGCAGATTATTTGCACTTTAGGACGGTTCGGCGATGGTGATTGGTTGCGTTTCTCTATGGGGTCCCGAAGCGATTCCAAGCTAGATACAAAGAGAAAAATCACTATCCTCGATACCGTTCATCATAATTTGGAGGTTAATTTACAGAAACATTGATTCAAAAAACAATTTCAGGTTGAAATATCACCGAGAAAGCATTTACACTCGCAAGTAGTCTAATCACCAACAAAATTGAATCAATCCTAATTAAATCATTCGGCCCGAGACCGGGAAACAAGACTTAACCAAAAGCTTCAGCCCGTGGCTTTGTAATCACGAAAACACATTAAACATTATCACTCACCTAGATACCAGACTTCAGTAGAGCTTCACAACTGCAGGCAGGTGAATTCATACCACATTCAAAGGCTACCCAAAAAGGAATAACTTGTTACACCACGAAGAATTGACAACGACTCAACTAGCACACAGGTCAGCCATTACACGCTCCCACATCAACACCTTCGTTCACTTCGAACGATCGGTTTCATACCAAAATCGTAATCAGTGCCTGCCGGGACCTCATACAGATCGAGATCGAACGCTATACAGGGCACTGCACCGAATTATCGGGCGCGATGAATGACCACAGATAGATGGGTCATTCGTGTCATTGGCACCTAGGAGAGGGCGCCATAAGGGGTTTTGTCACATCTTGCCCACCGATCTCCTCCGACAAATCCTAGGGAGGAGGGGGAGATCCCTCAGGAAATTCCCATGACCCTAGTTACAGGCCAACGTGCTCACTCGGGGGAAAGTATCGCTTGATATGACTCACGTGGAACAATCCCCGCTCCACTCCTTTGTCTGCATCGAAAAGGACGTAAGTGTCATAGCTGACGCGTTTTTTCACTTGATACGGCCCTTCGAAAAGCGGCAAGAACTTCTTAGTGACGGCCTTGAGCGCCGACGACGCCGGATTGGCTTCCAGCAATACCAGATCCCCAGGTTCAAACTCTACATTCCGTTTGGACGAGCTCCGTCCGGCTCGGCGGGCGGCCTTGTTCTGCAAAGCCTCCCGGGCCAAGATGAGTTTCTGTTCAGTAGATGTTTTTGGTGAGTTTACCACCGGCCCCCGGTATTGGTCGGGTAGAACTCGTGACGGAGCTACACCAAGCTGGAGTTCCACCGGACTGAATCCCGTCGTCTCATGTATCAGATTGTTGAGAAATTCTGCAAAACGGGGCAACTCATTTGCCCACCGAGTATTGCCCAGCGCAATAAGTCCGACATAACCGACCAATCTCTCTCATAGTACGCTCACTCGGATTTGACTGGGGGTGGCGGATGGATGAGAACACCACCTGCACTCCCGCCGCAATTAGCGCGTCCCTCCATTTAGGAGTATTGAACTGCGTTCCATGGTCCGAGAGAATCCTCCTAGGAATACCATACTTCTCAAAGTAATCCCTCTCCAAGCGGTTCAGAATAGCCCGGGTCGTAGCTTTCTTCAATGCGTAGAATGTAACAAACTTAGTGAATACGTCGAGTACGACACAAATGAATACAACACCGCCTCGACTAGGGGGCAGTGGGCCATAAAGATCTAACGCCACCAAATCCCCCTTGCCTTCAGGAATAATTGGACGGATTTGCGCTTGAGGAAGTAGTGAAGTTTTCGACCGTTGACAAATGTCGCACTCTCGTAACGTCCGCTTGATATCCGGGCCCATATTGGTCCACCAGACTTCATTTTTTAACGCCTTCCAAGTTTTATAGCGCCCAAAGTGACCCAGCTGCTCATGAAATGCTTTGACGAACACCGGTGCCAAACTTTTCGGAATGCACAACCGGTAATAAGAATCTGGACCACCATTTATATAGAGCAGCCCTGCATGCTCTGCGAAACGTGTCTGCAAGTTTTCATCATTCGACAACTTCGCCAGAATATCGCCTAATTTCGGGTCTGCCCTTTGCCGTTGACCGAAATCTCTCAATAGTGATTTTAACTCCACGGGAAACTGAACCATGGACAGAATTTTGAACTCTTTGCTGCTAGGTGACGGCGGACGAGGCAAGGTAAACCGCGACAACGAATCTGCAACGACATTTTTCGAACCGGGTACATGTTCTAAGGTGAAATCGTACTCTTGCAACGCCAAGGCGTAGCGAGAAACCCGCGCTGATAAGAGTCTGCAGGTCTTCAAATAGGTCACTGAACTATTGTCCGTGTATACTTTAAACTCCTTACCCAACAGAAAAATTCGAAACCGTTGAAGTGCCCAGACCACCGCTAACGCTTCCAGCTCGTTAATAGAATACCTCGTCTCTCGATCCAACAACCGGCGACTTGCCCAAGCTACTGACCTATTTTCCCCGTCAACAACTTGGAATAGGTGGGCGCCTAGGGCCACTTCCGAGCTGTCCGTCTGCAGACAAAACGGCAGATCATTTCGAGGATGGTACAATAAAGTATTTTTACACAGACTCGCCTTCAGGTCCTCAAATGCCCGCTGCTCTACCTCAGTCCATTGCCAACGTCGTTTACTCCGCAATAAGTCCGTTAATGGGGCCGCGACAGCTGAAAAATTCTCCATGAACGACCGATCAAAATTGGCCAGGCCCAAAAATCGCTGGAGCTGCTTGGCATTCCGGGGAGGGGAATAATCCTGCAACGCCTGTACGCGAGACGGATCGGCTCGAATATGTTCAGGAGTAATGCGATACCCAAGGAATTGCATCTCCTGTCGAAAAAACGAACATTTTTTTAGACGTAAGGTAAATCCAGCTTGTCCTAACCGCGTTAAAACCGCGTCTAGGTGCTCGAGATGTTGCACGAGATTCTGCGAAATGATCAGAATATCGTCCACGTAAATCGTGACAAACGCGTCAAACTCGGGACCTAATATAGTGGTCAAACAGCGCATGAACGTGCTGACACTCGTGCAAAGGCCGAATGGTAACCTACAGAAGACGTAGGTCTTGCCATCAAATTGGAAACCCGTATATTGCTGACTATCTTCTGACAAAGGAATTTGATAATAACCTTGCGTGAAATCGATACTGGACATAAACCGTATTGGCCCCATGGTATGCAAGATTTCTTCCATAGACCGGGGTGCTTCATATTCTTTTTCCATAAGAGTATTCAAAAACCTCGCGTCTAGACATATCCGGACCGAGTTGTCCTTTTTAAGGGTAGTCATGATGGGCGAGACGTACTGCGTTGCGCGACGTTTTATAATACCCCACTCTTCCAACTGATCTAACTGCTTTTGTACGGCGGCTTTGTGAGCTATGGGTACCGGGTACTGTTTTTTGAAAAATGGTTGGTCTATTCTCATTTTAATTCGATGCGTATATTCATTCGTGTGACCCGGATGATCCGAAAAAATCCCAACATGCTTGGTCAGCAACTCGCGAAACTTTTCCTTATCTTCGGCGACTAGCCCACATTCCGCCAAAATGGCGTCAATTTCGTCTTCATCGCTCATTTGGTTGGACAAAAACGCGATTTTCGATTCTTGGCGAGTATGAATAGCTCTGAGATTTACCGGACCCACTGAACCGAGAGTGTGTCTTACGTCGAGTTCCGGCACCTCAATTCGGTCGCCATTTATCTTAAGAATCAGTTCGTTGGTCTCCAAGCTAATAATCGCTTGAACTCTGCGCAAAAAATCGGTACCTAAGATGACGGGGTACGCTAACTCCGGGATGTATAAAAATTCGTGATGGAATACCCTATCTGTTATTGAAAAAGTCACTAACGATTGGTGGACCACTCGACGTTGTTTCATCTTGAACGCCCCCGAAACCTTTACCCCGGAGCACGCAAACGTAGGCATTTGACTTTTGAATTCTGAAACTCCCGTCCATACTTCTTCCCCGTACGCACAAATTTCACTTCCGGAGTCGACTAACGCCGGAAATGGACAATCGAAAATCAATATACTGATTACCGGACACCTTGAGTTTAATGTTTCGTGGTCGCCCTCACATTCGGTTAACAGATCCTCTTTGGTGTCCAGAATTCCGTGGGATGCCCTACCTAACACAGCCTGCACAACCGGACCTATAGTTGGGCAGACTCCTCCCCGTTTCCCGACTCCTCATCTTTTTCCTCACTCTCCCTATTAATTTCAAGGTTTGCGATTTGTTTCGGTCCGGTATGATAGTCAGTACGTTTAGGAAACGCTCCCCTCGATGTACGACTCATTTCACCACCAGTATTCGGCCTGTATCGCCCTTCATGTCCGACCGATGGACCCCTAATCACGCTTTGGCCTCGAGGCTCGTTGCTAAAATAATAGTCTGCTTGTCTCAGCCTTTCCATTGCATCAGCAAACGTGGTTGTCCCTACCAACACCGCCGAAATGCTCGGGGGAAAATGTCTCGCAATGGTTTGGATCAACAACCTTTCCGAGTATGGTGGTTCTAGATATTTGGCTTTCACTAAATATTTCATGAAGTGATCTACTAGTAAACCACTTGATTCCCGATACCTAGCTGCTTGCAACTCTAACCTCACTTCCAGCTGCCTAGTTTCTGACCAAAAATGGGAGATAAACGCGTTTTGAAAATCTTCAAAATTGTGACACCACTGCAAATACGCCTGACCCCACAAAAAAGCTTTGCCCTTCAACTGATTTCCTAACACCAATTTAAAATTACTAAAGGACCACTTTTCCAACCGGAACCATTGTTCCATCACCTTGACAAACTCAACCGGATGTGTGCCTCTTTCATCATCAAACACCGGGATCCTTTTATTCCATTCACTCATACCACCATCTCTAGACATCCCTACCACCGTCGCTTCTTCTGGATCTGAAGTCTGGGCAGGTGTGACACCTTGTAGGTTGACATTTCTTTGCAACGAGTTCACCACTTTATCTAATAATGATATGAATTGTTGTTCACTTAATACCGTCATCACGGGCTGTGCTCCTGATGAAGTGTTATTTTGAGCACTGGCTCCCTGCCTATAATAACTTTCATGCCCCATTACATTTGTATGTTGAGGCTGACTCCTCGATGTGTCAGAAAAAACCTTACTTGGTCCTAAATTTACATTTTTATACACATTTGCGCTATAAGTAGGGTTAATATGACCTTGGCTTCCAACATTTGTGTTGCCATGGCATGGAAAACCAGTTGTATTGGGTGGAAACGCTTGATGATTATTTACATAATTTGAATTTTGCTGTCGACTTGCTCGGACACCCTGTATATCCGCACTAATATCTTCACTCTCATTTCTAGGAAAAACTACATTTTCACCAAATACACCTAGCCTTGCTTGTGATCCAGGATTATTATCTAACCTTACATTGCTATGCCCTGTAGTAGGTACACCCGGTATATTAAAATAGGGAATTTGGACATTAACATTATCTCTTCTAGAGTTATCAATAAACCTAATGCTAGGACTTAATTCAACTGGTGGTGGTTGAAAACCAAAATTCTCCTC